CGCGCGGTTCAAAAACTTGTGTTTCACAGCATTCGCGATCCTCCGAAAATCCGCCAATCTCATACTTAACTTGGTCGCGCTTATGTCCGATGCCAACATTCCGGATATCAAACATCGAGATATCCATGCCCAATTGCAAGAAAAGTTCAGACTTGACTTGACGGAGGAAGAAGCAATCAAGCATTTCGAGACATTGTTGAACGAAACATCGTATATTACTGCCGTATTCGACAAGATCCATGACTTGGCTCAGTATTGGCGGAGTTGATCGAGGTGTCTTGTTCCTGTTTACCATACAAGGTGTCGGACTTGACCCTGTCATAGATTGTTTTGCCGTAGCTTTTTTAATAATACATAGAAACTCGTTATCTCCATGCGTGCAAAAAGGGTTGATTTGTGGCGTCGCTAACGGGCTCCGAAAGGCCGAATATCGTGAAGCTATACATTGCTACTTACTAGAGTCCTTCGACACCATGTAATGCCATTCATAACTAAGTAACTTTGCAAATATATAGACCGTAGGGTAAAGTCGGACTAATCGGAAGTTAAGGGACTCACTCTAGATCTCTAGATGGAGAAGCCTCACCCGATCAAAGAAGCAACATTAGCCTATATTGGGTTTACTGAAACATCTCTTTCATGATTGGCTAATTATGTTCTCATAAATTTACATTTTCAGATCCCGTCTTTCTTCAAAGGCGTGCTAATCTGGGGTGCGGAGTCTCAAGATAGCCAGCTGTCATGTTGTGGCTGGGATATCGCTAAATGCCAAAATTTCGAGACAGGGATTTCATCGCCATCCGTCAGAACCCCTATCAGTTACGGTCAGTCAAAAAGGGTTTTTCCATCAGTGGATGTCAGGGAAATGATAGAACGTGGGATGTCATGTTGATGTTGGGGTTCGAACTTCGATGTACACAGACTACCTCTATCTCTTCACTGGCTTCACCCTGCTATGACGACGACCCTGTGTTTTGGAATCTTTTCATGTCTGTTGTGACAATAATTCCTCTATGATGTTATGATTGCTCAGTATATGGCCCATCAATCCTTTATCGATACAACGTTGTATTTTTGGCAATCCACTGATGTAGTCCTCCCAACGGCATCTCGGTGATGTGTGGTTAACCGAGTAAGTATCCCCGACTAGACCATTGAACCATTCTATATTTGTAATTGAGCATACTTCCGATACTAATCTTTTCTGGATTTGAAATCAGAGTAACCTCACCCTTGCTTTGCATTCAAGAAACTCTATCTTATCTTCGATGATTCCATGGAATATATTCATAGAAGCACATCCTATGATGATTTCCCGGACATGCTGCACATGGAATCATGGGAAGGATAGACGGAGATGATGTTCAGTTGCCAGGATGATGTATCAGAAGATTGTGTCTCATTACGACGCGTCGAAATTAGGACCATCTGGAGATAGTAGGGACGCGCCTTTGCGGCAAACAAAGGCATACGGTGATTTCAACCCCTCTTTTGCTTGCTACGAAACGTCACGAGGGAAGAGGGAAAGGATTGATTCGTTCGGCATGTTGGGGTAGAAAAATTCCGGAAGTATGGCGCAGTAGATTCCAAGACTAGCGGTGGATGGGAGAGTAAAAAAAATTCAAACGCAGCGGGGGTAGGTTTATAGCATAAGACGAGTGTGCAGATGGTGGAGAGACACCTTGTAACTCTCCCCCTCCGTCTCTCTGACTCAGACTTTGCTGTCGTTGACGTTTTCAGGCACCGTCGTATCCCGTCGATCCACGCCACCCGTCGAACGCCCCAAATTCAATGTCCGTCGTCGCGGAACATCCCCCGACGCCGCCCCGACCTACGTCGGCATCGTCCCACGTCACACCTGACGTCGTCACCAACGGCGTCCAGCAGATTTCACTTTCTCCCTCCCAAAATTTAAACACCACCACTACAAACGAAGACAACAAGATCCCTTCCGCGTCAGATGTCCATCCGCGCACTCTTTCAACATCGTCCTCAAATCACGCGGGCACCGACACCGACACCGCCGCCAACGTCAAACCCAACATTCTCAAACCAAAATCAAAGAAACCCAAAAAGGAACGTGCCCATTCACCAACACCTCCTCCGCCTCTGCCGCCTCCACCCATGATCACTGTCAGATTAAATATTGCATTAGGCGGTCCTTCCAATTATGAGGTTTCCATAGCGAACCTTGCTCGTCAGACAGGTCAAAGAGGTCTCACGCCACCTCCACCACCACGCGACAATTCCGATTCGGATTCATCAAGTGAAGATGATAACGACACTGCAAATGAACCCGCCCCGGCTGTCAAAGTCAAGGTGTGTAATATGTTTTTCACATGTCAAATCATCATTTCATAATTATTATTTTTCCAGGCACGTCGGAAGCGTAAGGAGATGGATTACGATTTTGATGATCCATTTATAGACGATTCAGATCTCAACATCGATGCACCCACCCATTTCGCGCAAACCAAGCAACAAGGCTTTTATGTCTCGTCAGGGGATGTTGCACTCGTAAAAGACAAATCACCCAACAAGAAGATAATCAAGCCGAGGAGTTCCGTACCTGCGGTGCCTGCTCGTCCTAGCAAGCCAACTCTGACTTCATTGCTTGCAACTGCCACCGCAAATGCCACAGCTCCTGCAAAGGTTACGCCTGGAAACATGAGCATGGATATAGATATCTCGATGGCCTCTAGACCTCCACATAGCGGACTTGGCACGCAAGAAAGTCCGATCGCTCTTGATGATGAAGCGGATGCTCCAAAAGCTGAGGGTCAACGAACCTCTGCACCTCCCACAAAGAGAATGAAGACGGAAGCTGGATCTATTCCAAATCCTGTATCCTCTAACGCCACACATACCTTTGTCGTGGATGGGAAGACGAGGACTGTAGATAAGACGGAGTTGGAAGCGGTGAGTTTCGATGTTTATTCTCCATACCACAGCAACCTTATGTTTATCCCCCTATTAGAACTTTAACCCTCAGGTCACTACCGCTCTACATGGCCTCAAAGCAGAAATTGACAAGAGTGCGTTTCTTTACACCTATTACGTCTGTTCGTTGTTCCTTAGAAATATCAATTACAGCGAAATGGGAAACCAAAGGAAGGTTCCCTCAGAATCTCAAACCTATTCTTGTCGATGTCGCCACTCTCGCTCTTAAGCTGGGTGATTATAACGATTCGTTCTTTGACTATATGCCCTTCATCTTCCCATACAATCGCTTTACGATGATGGTGAGAGGCATTTCCCCTCTCCCAATTTACCTATCACTCACATTGTTTTCAACAGAAACTTACCACCAAGTTGATGTATAATATCCATCAACAATACTTGAATGAACGTCAAGATGCTCTTTTGGCTGAGCTGAAGCAGATTGGTGTAGACGACTTTGAAAGGGCGAAAGAGGACTATGCCAAAGCATGTGTTGCATGGGGTGAGTCATGGAGGATTCCCTGTATGGTTCCATTTGGCTCATAACCGTAATATACAAAAGAGGAAAAGCAGAAAAAGAAGCAGTTGGAAAAAAGTACTTCTGGTGCAGCAAGTGGTGCAGAAGGTTCAGCGATGGACGTTGTACGTCATATATCTTTCCTATCAAACATTGTACCTCTTCTTACCGTTTATACATCTAGGACGCGTCGAATACCTCCCGAGCTGCATCTCCTGCAGGTGTCGCTGCTGAAGACGCTTCTGACAACAACCACGGGAACGGAACTGCCGGAGGGACACCTGCTAATGGTACCCACAAGCAGAGAGAAGAGAAGCCTCCTCAGAAGAGATTCAAGTGGACAGACGATATCAAGAGTAGAGTTTGGGGATTGCTCCATTTGTGTTCCGAGAGCTGTAGGATCAACGCTCTCGTTCAGTGAGTACACAGTCTAGTTGACATTCATTGATTGTTTTGCTAATGAGGATGTCGTGATTATAGCTCTTGGGACCCGTCTGTTCCTTTGACAACCGAGACAGCAGCCAGGAAGGAGCTTTACAAGAAGGTACGCGGATAGTTATGCTTTGACCCAAGATCTTGCTGTTGATCCGTGCTTCCTTCCACCAGATAAATTCCGCGTTCCCCGATGGTTGGATGAACTCGGGAGCTATTTCTCGTGAAGGTGGGTTGAAACATTTAGCCACCAAGTTCTTTTCGGTTTACTAATTGAATTGCGATCTCTTAGTGAGCAACATGAAGCTCAAGTTGAAGAAGGAAGAAGCTGCGGTGGGCAAAGTAGAAGACTAAAACAAGACTATATCGTCATCGTCATCGTCATCGCCATCGTCAAAACCATCTGTTGATCCTAACTATCTTGATTCCCCCTTTATGCCTCATTGACTTTGCATTCTGACTGTCATATCTTACTCCTTCATGATTGACTTTATTGTGTTTCGTTCTCCGAGTTTCGTTCTTATTTTTCTGAGTGTAAAATACCCACCACTCCATGTCCT